TCATTGGGTAGCTCACTTGAGACTTGAGGGGGTCGCCTGGAGGATTTCTATAGGGTTCTCACACATTTGCTTCCCTCCGCTATGAATCCCGATGCCTGTTGACAAAATGGTAGCTTCGCACAGCCTTCACAAAACCACCCCGCAGATGTCGCCATCGGTACCAACCTGCCAAAGTGGTGAGGGAGATTTGGACCATCCGTCTGCTTCCCTCAGTTGCTGATGAAGAGCAGAAGGATTGTCGAATTCTCTTCATTCCATGCCAGGATGAAGCGAGCGAGCAGGATCGGCAGTTGTTACGTACTGCGTTAAGTTACCACTTGGTAAACGGTAATCGTCACTTACCAATTGTCTTGGGGAAATGATGTAAATAACAAGATCGCATCGTTTCCCAAGTAGTTATATGCACATTGTGGTAAGTTGGCAGAATGACTTCCGGTATTCACCCAGGCCAGGGCTCTTTTTGTAGCAGGAACTCCTTTGCATATTAGGCCACACACCCCTAACGTAGCCAATCCTCCAAGAGCTTACAGAGCTCTTCTTACAGGAGCTACTGTAAGCTCTTGGAGGATTGGCTACATTAGGGGTGTGTCGCTTAATATGCAAATGAGTGTCTGCTACAAAAAGAGCCCTGCTTATGGATCAACCCCTTTACAAGGGGCCCATGGAACTGGATAGATCAACACACCTTTGTCATTCCAACCAGTGTTCCCTCTAAGCTGAGTTAGTGTGAGCTGGCTCACCGTTTTTAAGCCTCCAGCTCACACATTTTTGTCTTACCTCAGGAAGAATGGCTCCAGAGCAAACTTAATTTCGGCAGCAGCCAATTTGGTCGCTCACAACTCTAATGCCAGTCGCTCACAAAGTAGAATTTTTGCTCACCAGACTCCACAGCTTAGAGGGAGCGTTGATTCCAACCAACGTAAGGTCAGCCGCTCTCAAAAACAGGGAGAGAACCCGATGTCAGCTGGTAAGGCAGTTTGAATAGATAATAATAACATTGGCACTCATCACCACTCAGCCTAGTTCCATATGGACCTTGCCACGTGGTGATGCCAAAAAATTACTCTGAAATAGGAGAAAACAGGGGTATGAATCAAATCCCCCCTTAGTTGCCATAACTATCAGGGTTGGTTTCCCCCCCCTCCCCCAATAACTGTAGAGGCCTAATGCTGCTAGAAGCCTAATCTTTGGTCTTGTCTTTGGTCTGGATCATTTTGCTTTATCCTGCTGTAAATTTGGCTACTTTGGAAATAAACCATGCTTCCAATTTTTCAAGCTGAATGGGTGTGATAGTTTCTTTTATTGGTCCTGCATGCCCTTTGGTTCTGACTATCTCGCCTTTAACGCTTCTTTTTATTCACAGCCTACTCCTTCAGCATGCACGCACACACACACACAATCCCTCCCAGCACTATAGTTCATTTGATTTTCATTCAGTTTCATTGTGGTCTTTGAATGCTCTGCGTGTCACTTTGCAGCGGGTTGGTCATTCAGTTTATCGTAGCTTTTCCCCAGGGAACGTACATTGTTGGTCAGGACTTCCCATTCCAGATCTGAAGCCTCAGGGACGGCTGATAACAAGTGCTTTGGACTTTAGACGGATGATTGCTCATTTCAGGGGCAATTTTAAGAACGAGATTAGTGTGGCCGCCCGAAGCGGTGGACTTCTGATGCTGGCAATTCTGCACACCATGTGGAATGTTAGCAGGAAGTACAACTAGTTTGTGAACTCTCTTCTCAGGGTTCAGGATGAAGACTGGAGCATTGCACGTAGCCCATACATAGGTGACTTTCTTCCAGTAACAGTGGGGTTTTGGAAAAGACAAAAAAAAAAAATCACAGGTGTGCTTTCTTTCATCACACAGTTGTGGTGATGGGAGAAACTGACACCCTCCTGACTTTTGTCTGGATCGTACTCCAAAACTGGAAATTCTTTAAAGCAGGAGAGAGGTCACATTAACTTTCCTACTGTTGGAGCTGATGTGTAACTTTGTGTACCAGAACTCCCCAGAGGAACTTCTGTTCTATATTTCCCCATTTTGCCAAGCAACGAGCCTCCTATAGGGAGCACAAGAATGTAAATTGCTACACACACGTTCAGTGTCCTAGAGACTGTGGGTTAGAAACGATGCACAGTTGAGCACAAACCCCACAAATCCATAGAAAGCCTCAGTTAGTAGCTATTTACATGGGGTGGGCTTTTATTTTGAGAGACGTAGCGCTCCATAGCCCTGGTTACTGTGTGCCGCTTAAGGAATTGTTTTCAATCAGAGTGTTGAGAAGAGCTTGGTGTTTCCAAAAGTATATTTTCTGCTCTTCTCAACCTTCTCTACCTTATCTTTATTCAGTGTGAAACTACGCTCCCCCCCCCCCCCCCGGCTGCCTTAAGCCTGATTGGGGGCAGAGGGAACCCTACAGTACAAGTACCTGAATTTCCAGGTCTGGAGGAAGCCATTTTTGATGAGGGAAGAAGAAGAAGAAGACGAGATTGGATTTATACCCGGCCCATCACTACCCAAAGGTGTCTCAGAGTGGCTTACAAACTCCTTTCCCTTCCCCTCCCCACAACAGACACCCTGTGAGGGAGATGGGGCTGAGAGAGCTCTCTTTTTTTATCAAACTTTTTTTATTTTGGATATAGCAACATGTTCAAAATTACACCTTTCCCTTTAGCATATATCCATTTCACATATCTCCTCCCCCCCTTCCAGTGGCTTCCCGCAATGCTTCCTCCCCCCGTCCCTTTTACTGTTCAACTATCAATTTACATTTTCACTACAATTTTTTTCAGGTAACATTATCTTCTTCTATTCAATTATTTTCTTTTTCTAATTCTGTTCTTAATCATTATCAAAACAAAGTAAATTATTTTTGACATCCCAATTGGTCTCCATATATTCCTTAAAGTCTGTCCATTCTGCAAAAAAAATCTTCGTCTTCTTTATTATTGTTTCTTTGTCAGTTTATCCATTTCAGCCATAAAAAGCATTTTCTGAATCCATTCCCATTTCTCTGGTACTCTGTCCTGTTTCCAAAATTGTGCATATGTCATTCTGGCAGTAGTAATCAAATACCATAACAGTGTCCTCTTTGTTGCATTTACCTCTTCCATCTTAAGCCCTAAGAGTAATACTTCTGGCTCTTTTTTAAAAGTACATTTCAGGATTTTCTGCATTTCATTATGAACTTCTGTCCCAAAAGCTACAGCTTTATCACAAGTCCACCACATATGATAAAAAGAGCCTTCTTTTTTCTTACATTTCCAACACTTATTTGACATATTCTCATTCATATTTGCTATTTTCTTGGGAGTCATATACCCCAACGGCTCTTTTTTCAAGAACAGCTCTTATCAGAGCCACGGCTTGCCCAAGGTCATCCAGCTAGGTGGAAGTGGAGGAGTGGGGAATCAAACCCGGTTCTCCCAGATTAGAGTCCACGCACTTAACCGCTATACCAAACCATTACACCAAAATGGAACGAGGGGATTCCCCCTTCTCCGGAGCTGTGTCCCCATCCCCTCCACCCCCTTCCCTCACATGGCTGGTCTTTGGGGTACGGTTCCCAGGACCCTCTGGGCAGAGGATGGGAAGTGGGCTTACACGGAGCAGGGAGTCTCATCCGAGGTTTCAGTGACATTCCCAACATGACTTCCAGCATGACCCAGACGCAACATAGGCACATTGGGGCAATGATGCTCTGGTTTGGTGTAGTGGTTAAGTGTAGTGGTTAAGTGCGCGGACTCTAATCTGGGAGGACCGGGTTTGATTCCCCACTCCTCCACTTGCAGCTGCTGGATGACCTTGGGCAAGCCATAGTTCTGATAAGAGCTGTTCTTGAAAAGGAGCAGTTTCTGTCAGAGTTCTCTCAGCCCCACCCACCTCACAGGGTGTCTGTTGTGGGGAGGGGAAGGGAAAGGAGTTTGTAAGCCGCTCTGAGACTCCGAGTGAAGGGTGAGATATAAATCCAATATCCTCCTCTTCTTCTTTTGGGGCAAAAACTCTTCAGTAGAATTAGCTTCTACCATAGAGTTTTTGCCCAAATCCAGACTGTCACCCCCATGTCCCCGATGTGCGTTATGTCACTTCTGGGTCATGTCGAAGTCATACTGGAGACGTCACTAAAATGTCGGGTGAGACTCTCCCTTTTTTTTGCAATAAGTCCCCCACACACACACACCGGCCAGCTGATCGGCAGTGGAGAGGTGGGTCCTGGGAGTGGGAGAACCCTGCTCCTCCAGGGGTGTCTGGCATCTGTGCTTTGGGGGCAAAGAACAAGGGCAGAGGTCCAGTGACAGCTCTCCCGTATTGTTCCTCAGTGAGAATTTAGGCCCAAGTTTGTGCCTGAGTGCACTCCAGAACTATGTTGTGATGTTAGCTGTTGAAGATTTTCTGGGTTGTATGGCCGTGGTCTTGGCATTGTAGGACCTGACGTTTCGCTAGTAGCTGTGACTGGCATCCTCAGAGGTATAACACAGAAAGATGGAGTACTCTCTGTGTTAAGCCAATCCACATGCAAAAGAACCTCCTCAGGAAACAATCCATATACAAAAGAACCTCCTCAGGAAAGCTCGTCCATTAGCATGTTCACAGCCTGGGGAACTCCTACAAGATAATGACTCAGCCCTACCCCACCTTCCTGAATAGATATAAATTACCAGCCTATCATTTTTTTATCACCTTGACACAGAGAGTACTCCATCTTTCTGTATTATACCTCTGAAGGTGCCAGTCACAGCTACTGGCGAAACATCGGGTCCTACAGTGCCAAGACTACGGCCAGACAACCTGGAAAATCTACACCAGCTAATGAACTCCGGCTGTGAAAGCCTTTGACAATGTATGTTGTGATGGGTTGCCTCTGACCCTCTGGGCGAGCCCTGTTATATACATCTGTGCCACATCAGTTTTGCTGCCTTGTTACTGCTGGAACCAGCGGTTTCCTTGCCATGGGAAAAAAAATGCACATTTTATTCACACTGTATTCCCCTCCTTTCGCAGTGGCAAGAAAAATGTTGCTGAAACATCTGAAAACAGGTAATGTGTTGTTTCTTTGGCTTCCTACTTGTCAAAGACTCTTCCTTCAGACGTTTTCCAGCCTTGTATAGAATTGCTCCACCCAATAAACTGTTGTGTGCATGGAAGGCTTACCAAATAGTGGAATTGAAACTAGTAATGCCTCCATATGCAGATGCAGTAAACCTCTTTGACGGTCAGTGCTAGGAGGCAGAATTAGGGGAAGGCCTCCGCTTTTATGACCTGTGTTTTGGCCCTAAAGGGCAAGTGGTTGGCCGCTGTGTGGAACAGGATGGTGGACTAGATGGACCGCTGATGTTATATTGCCACTGAAGTTGGTTCTACAAACTTTGGCAGGTTGTAATGCTCAGGGGTCATTTCGTAGAAAAAGAGGTACAGGAGCTCATTAGCATACCTCATTAGCATAACTTATTTGCATATGTCACACCCCCTGACATCACCGGAAGTGTGTCAGAAGGCAGCACCCACTGCAACTTACCTGGCTGCTTCTTGCTCCTCGTGGCCGGGGGCTGCTGGGAGAAGGGGGCGGGGCTTGTTGCATGTGCCCGCCCCCTGGGCTCTTTACCGCCGGAGCTCCGCTCCTGTGCGCTCCCGCAGGAAATGACCCCTGGTAATGCTCATTTTCCATACATGCTGAGCATTACAGCCCCACTACTTCCTCTTGGCCTCATATTATGATCTGAGCCAGGAGTCCCCAACCTTTTTGAGCCTGTGGACACATTTGGAATTCTGACATGGCGTGGTGGGCACAGCAACAAAATGGCTGCCACAAAATGGCCACCATAGGAGGTGGAGCCAGCCACAAAACGAGTGCCACAGGTTAGCTTCAGTAAATCTTTGTGCTGTGGTGGCCGAAGCAACATTTTAAAAAGGGTACACAGCCAATCAGATTTCCAATAGAAGCCTTGCTGGGCAAAAGCCATACCTGGCCCTGCCCACTTTGTAAAAGCACTTGACAGCTGCCAGAAAAGGTGTGTCAGCAGGCGCCATGGGAACCACGTTGGGGACCCCAATCTGAGCTGACAAATCCCTGCCCACATGCCTCCCTGATAACGTCCTGTTGACCTAACTGGTGGCAGCAGAGGGGACCGCTATAGAGCCCGCCTTTTGTCTACCCCACACCCCCACATGGTGGCTTGGAAACTACATTTCCCAGGTTCCTGGGGTACAGCTGTAAGAGCGTTCAAGGTACCAAGGAAGAAGGGAAGGAGGCCCCCAGAGAAATCTCCCCACAACTGCTTTCAGCACTACAGTTAGGTATGTGGGAAGGGAATGGGGGTGATGGCCCAGGGCAGAGGTCAGAGGCTCACTGGAAGGAGGTATCATTGGGGGCTGAGGTGCGGGTTTCGGACTGCTTAGTGGTCTGAATTTTAGAATTGGAATTTGGAATCAGGACGAGGTGGGGGTGTGGGGGTTTTGTTTTTGTTTCTAGGTTTTGGGAAATGGTTCAATTTGCCAAGCCCATTTCTCAGACAAGGTGGGGGGGATGTTTGCCCATCACTAATTGAAATGCTCCTAATTGTTTCTTGAATTTGTGGCAGTTTGGTTTACGAACGGTTCAACAGATTAAAAACGTACTTAAGATCAGTGTTAATTTTACTAAGAGTTTGGCTAGTACCACATTTAAGAAGTGTCTGCATCTTTAAAAATGTTGGGTAGAAACAAATCGTATTTTAAAATGAGATGAGTGTGAAATTCACCATTGACTAGTCCACAAAATGTATTGGTGTATGTGTTTAATTTACCGTTTTTCTTTAAAAACAACAACAAGTATCTGGCTGAATACTTTAGTATCAACATTCTAATCTCTGTTTTAAGATTCCACAGCAGAAAGGAGGAAAAATTATTGGAATGTCTGCAAATACACCCATTTCCTTGTTGAAATATTAGCGACAAATCTCTCTTTGCTAGACTCTGTCTTTGGCTGCTGAAGTGTGGGTAGTTTTTGTTGCTACTGTGGACCATAACAAAGTTTGAGTCCAGTGGCACTTTTAAGACCAACAAAGTTTAATTCTGGGTATAAGCCTTTGTGTGATGGTATCCATATATATGAAGAAGTGTCCATGTCCATGAAATCTTATACCCAGAATTAAACTTTGTTGGTCTTAAAGGTGCCACTGGACTCACACTTTGTTCGGTTGCTTCAGACGAACACGGCTGCCCTCCCGAACCTACTGTGGATCATGGTCAACATGCACCTTTTCTTCCAATCGTATCTCATGAATCGGTAATCTCAGGGCTCTTTTTGTAGAAAAAGCCCAGCAGGAACTCATTAGCATAATAGGCCACACCCAACAGCAGAAACTCATTCGCATATTAGGCCACACCCCTGACAGCACAGCTCATTAGCACATTAGGCCGCACCCCCATGTTACCAGAAGTGCGGTCATCCAGCCACACCCACCTTTTGCTTGTTATTCTGTTTACCTTGTTTGTTGTCAACCAGGGGCTTTTTTTGTAGCAAGAACTCCTTTGCATGTTAGGCCACACACCCCTAATGTGTGCCAATCCTAATGAGTTTCTGCTTTTGGGTGTGGCCTGTTATGCTAATGAGTTCCTGCTGGGCGTGGCCAACTTGGGAGCCAGCCGGAATTCCGTTCCTGTGCGTTCCAGCCCAAAAATAGCCCTGGTAATCTTGGCTATTTGGGACCCCATATTTCAGCTGGAGGACAAAAACGAAACAAAAATAAACTATAGCAGGTTTTTTGGTCTCAGTTTTTCAGACCACTGCTAGATAATACATTTTGACCGATTTCACACAAGAGCTCCGCCACGGTCGCCGCCTCCCTTTGCCCCACTTCTGTTGGTCAATTTCCCACACGAAGCTGCACGGCCGCAATTTGACCCACAGCTTCGCCCGATTTCCCCCACGGTTTCGTGATCCTCAAAAAACAGGATCACGAAACGGCGGGGGGAATTGGGCGAAGCCGTGGGTCAAGATGCGGCTGCGCAGCTTCGAGGGGGAAATTGACCAATAGAAGCGGGGCAAAGGGAGGCGTGACCGTGGAGCAGCTCTTGTGTGAAATCGGTCTTTATGTGTCATTGAGAGACGTCGTGCTCTTATGCTTGATGGCACGTGCATTCACAAATATAACAAACGCTGTCTTTAGTTTACAAAAGCAGAGTGTTAGAAATTTTTGAATGCACGTTTCTTCTATGACAATGTGAGTCAAAAGAGAAACAAAACCTGAAAACCAGAATCTCCACTTGGATGTCGACTATTACGTCTTGGCATTTTCTGTTTTCCCTTGTGGAGGGCAATCTACGGAGCTCTGCTTGGTCTCAGAACTTTCGTTTTCATTTGGATGGAGCTTGGTGGATTGTATCCTTGAATACCATTCTTAACCCATGAAAAACAATCACCTTAATCCAGCTCAGTTTTGCATGCAGCTAGCCATGCCCCAAAATTGGTGACTCTGGATGGAGGTCTGTATCCCCATCCACACAGACAGGTGCGTCTAGATGAGCATTACAGTGTCGGTGTGCATCGATGTGCACATATCGTTTTCTTTGTCTGTGTGTGCTGAAGCCTGCTTCTGTGTTTGAATCTCCCTAGCTGGATCAGGGAAAACAGAAAGGATCAAATGCAAAGGCCAAAAAAAATCTTACAATTCTTTGTGTCGTATGCTAGATTTACATGATGCACATGTAGATCTTGGGAAATGCGCCTGTGTCTTTAAATTCCCTTGCCCGAATTTCAGTGCCCACCTCACTCACCCCAAGGCCATGATTCTGCTTTAAGCCATCGGGGACAGGGTCCAAAATCTCTCTCACAACCGTACAACCTTGTCATCTCTGTTACCCAGCCCTGCAGATGTTGCTCATGATGCTCAGTATGTGACGTCAGGTGTTTGGCATCACCCTCAGTCCCACCACACAGAGGCCAACACTGACAAAGTTAAAGCAGTGGCCTCCAAGAGTTCCGTGAGATTTGGAACGGGTGCGGGTCAGAGGGAAGCCAGCTACGGCAGTACTGGCCAGAACATCCCTCTCGCTTCGTCCAGTCACCAAAGGTAACTCCCATGACTGACCTCGTTTGGATCGTTGGTATGGGTTTGTGATAACATCTTCTAACTTCTAATGGAACGGCCCAAAGTTTAAAGACGAGGCATGTCTATGGTATATAAACATACACGGTTTTTTTATTTAATTAAAAAGATTTTCCCATATAAGAGAGAGTTCATGCAGAAAGCAAGACAGCCACAATATTGTTGTTAAATTTGCAGCATGTTATGCCTTCTTGGCAGGGCCGCGGTGGCTCAAGTGGTTAAGACGCTGAACTGCAGACCGGAAGGTCGGTAGTTCAGCAGTCCGAGACCCGAGTGCTGCATGACGGAGTGAGCTCCCGTCTCCGGTCCCAGCTCCTGCCAACCTAGCAGTTCGAAAGCAAGAAACTGCAAGTGGATAAATAGGTACCGCTTCAGTGGGAAGGTAACAGCATTCCGTGCGCCTCAGCATCTAGTCATGCTGGCCACGTGACCACGGAAATGTCTTCGGACTGCGCTGGCTCTTCGGCTTGGAAACGGAGATGAGCGCCGCATCCCTAGAGTCGGATTCGACTGGCTTTCGAGCAAGGGAAACCTTACACCTCCTTGACATTGTTAGGTAATTGCATGCCATGAATGACTATATCTAGTTCATTCCTTCAGACAAATACATTGTGACTTCTGTCATCATGTACGATGTAAATTCATGCGAAGTTATTCTGCTAGAAGGTTTCTTTATGTGCAGGTGATATCCACGGATGCACATGAAATGGGGAGTTTCATGTATGCTCTGGTGCATGCATGGAGCTTCTGTGGGAGGCACCACATTCCCAGCAATGGAAGACATAGCTCCATGCAAATAGATGGAAGCATAATCTTTTCCCTCCACTGATGTGAATGCATCATGCCTTCCACCCCTGCAAAAGAAGAATCACTGGCTTGGAATGACAATTTGTGGAGAAGCAACATGTTATTACACATCCAGTGTGTAATCAACAGATTTGTGCTGATTCAGGCACAGCTAAAAGCTTCACTCTTACACACGCCCACTCTGGAGTAAATCTGCTGAATTTGAATGTTTTAAAAATCCTTGCTCGGGGCAGAACCTGGGATTCCTCCACACATCTTTGGATACTGCTTTATCATGGCGTTATGTCAATCACCTGCAATTCTATTCCAGACAAGCCAATCCAGGTGCAGATGACTGCCGTAACGGAATGACAGTGGCATAGCCAATGATGTGCGGGTGCGCTCCTGCAGTTATTGTGAGCCACCCTTTCAGTTGTTTGAGTTTTGTAAATGGAACATTTGTGCATTTCCTAAAGAAGAATAATCACATCTCTCACAAAAGGGTCCTTCTGGAAAGAGCCAGAATCTCATCAGTCATTTTGTGTTTGTTACTTAATTGTTTAAAAGCTTGTGTGTGGTTGTGTGCGTTAATAAGAGTTTTTGAATCCTTGTCACTCTCTTAACATCTGCTGGACGGTGTAACATCTGGTAAGAAAGCATCAGAGTTGCCAAGCAGTCGTGACTTTCTGCATTTCATCTGTGTAACGCTACCATGTTGCTGCGTGTTTTAGAAACTTAGATTTCCTCCTAATATCCCCTTGCAAATATGGTATTCAGTAAAAGGTGATGGAATTGGAAGGATGATCAGGTGATTTTCCCTCACCCCCCCCCCCCCCCCGTGTGACTCAGTGGTTCCTGCTCATGTAAAACTAACTCCAAAAAATATTGCATTGAGGGAATATTTGGCAATTTGAAAATTCAGAATTGGCGTTGGGCGTCTAGTGGGTAATTCACACACGCAGAACATCGGTTGATGTTGCAGGCGTCAGACGATGGACGTGTCTCTGTGAAGCAGACCATGCACAAAAGCAAACAAGGAAATAAATAAATGCCCAATGGCCCAGCCCTAAATTTATGTAGGTTTTTGATTATATAAGATGAAGCTGCTCTTTGAGGCCAGTAAGTTTTAGGTTTGGTATGTAAGGTGTTATGTGTTGTGTACAGTATCTGATGCTCCATTGGAAATGATGCCATCGATAGTAATTCATGTCACATGAAGGGAAGGTTTACACTGGTTATATTGTTGTTTACTGGAAACCGTAGAAAACCCTAATACTTATAGTCTCTGATTCTGTTTTGTGATGTTCACCTAGTTATAAGGGTACTGGAGTCTGAATTCTCTTTTTGGTTTCATACCTTCAGCGAACCTGTGTTCATTTCAAAGACATTGGAATTTAGATCTCCACAAGATCTAGACTGTAAACAGTGGACATTTATGAACAATACCACTGTACATTTAATGGGGGGAGTGGGGAAGATTGCCCTGTATGCAAAACTTAGAAAGGAGAATTGGTAAATCAAGGACTCACTTCTGTAGCCTTTTCCATTAATTTTTCATGAATCATTCATTTCTTCTGCATAGATCATTTTACAAAGAAACAAAATTGATATGCTGAGATGCAGTGTACTGTATATCTATATCAGTGCTGTAATCTCCTGAAGGGCCATCTTTAAGAAATATCGGGGTGGATCCAACCATCCTCTAAGTAGTCTTCGTCCAACTTAAGTGGCTCTTCCTCCAGTGGCATTGCTGCTTAAGTTGGAGGAGGGCTCTTTAGACGGGAGAAAGACCTCAAATTTCAGCCAAAAGAAAAGGTGGGGTATAAATATGTTAATAAATAAATAAAGGAATATACTTTGCTCAGAGGAGTGGTAGCATAGGGATAGGATCCGCCCCAGTGGAAGGATTAGTTGGTGTTATTTTATTATATTTCTCTTCTCTGTCTAGTTCTTCTCACCACCACCAACCTTCTCATTTCTATCTACTTCTTAGTTCATTTCCCCCACCATTATTACCCTTTCAGGCTTAAGTATAATAGCAGACCTTCTATACAGTTGATATTCTGCTTCATCAATATTGTTTACCCCTGTGGTCCTTGTAGCTCTGACTCTTCTTGAAGGCGAGCTTGGGATAACGCATAAAGAGACATAAAGAAGCAAATACTCTCCTTAGCCAACGACCAAGTTGTAGAGTAATCTTGGTTTAAATTTGTTTATTCATAGTTATGAATAGCTTATTGGTACTGCTTTAGAGACTAGAATAAATGCTTCTTGAGCAAAAGTAAAATTTTTCAGTGAGATTTCAACTAATTGCTACACGATTAGATTTCGGGGGGGGGGGGGACCACTTAATGTGCAGAGGTTCCTGAACGATTTCAAGGACACTAATAGGATTATCCTAGACAGAGTTATGCCCTTCTAAGGCCCCGGTCACACGAGAGGTTTTGGGCCGGGAGAGGGACAGATCGGGGGCGAAGCAAATGGGCGCGATCCCACCGCAACATCTGGGAAGCGGCGCGCCCCCTTCCCCGATCCGGCCCTTCCGCCCAAAACGCCGCGGCAAAAATAAACCACCTACCGAGGTGGTTCTTCTGGCAAGTCCGCATCAAGGCCGGCCGTGGGATCGCCGGTGCGTCCTTCCGCCGGCGCATCCCCGGCTCCTGGCCGAACTGCGCATGCTCAGACGTGCGCAGTTCGGCAGCCTCCCTCTCCCGACCGTGGCTTCCTCCCCGGCATCTGATCGTGCTGGGGAGCAACGGCGCTGCGGCGTCTCTATTTTGGTGCGGCTCTGATTATCCGCACTTTGCCCGGGTTTTTTTCTGCCGTGTGGCAGGGACCTAAGTCCATCAAAGTCAATGGGTTTAGTAGGGAGTAACTCTGCTCACAGCTGCACTGTAATGGCACAACCCCATGCCGTGAGACTCCAGTCTAAGCTCTTTGATTTCAGTGATTTAAGACGGTGAATAATTCTGCACAGGGACTGCACTGTAGAGCAGTTTCCTATTTAAATACTGGACTTTATCTGCATGTACTCTTTTCCTTAATTTTGAATGAAAAGAATGTTGATGTGATTTCAGTGTTCAAACAAAGGCACGTTGTTTCACTTTGAACAGTCACTCGCCCGGAGGTGAAACAGTGGAATAAGTGTGAAGGTGCGATGAATGCAGATGTTGCATGCACCCTGGTCTTCACGATGCCCAGAATTCTCTCTTAGCTAAAAGAATGGCAGATAACCTTTAGACTGGTGCTGCTCCATGACCAGAGAAGGAATAGAGAATTAAGTTGTACTAGACATAGATGTAAATCGAAACATATTCCCTTTTTTCTTTTCTTTTATTCTTCCCTCCCCTTTTTTCTTTCTTAATTCCATTTTTTGTGTATATACCTTTTTTATTTACTGTATGTATGTTTAAAACTCAATAAAAAATTTAAAAAGGGATTCCCTTCTACAGAAGCGAGGGGTGATTCACATGTTGTGTAGTGGGTTAGCCGCATGGAAGAATTGCTGAGGCACGCATGATACACTGCACACTTTACTAGTACACAACACGCACACCCACCAACGGCCGACCCGCCGTTTATATACAGTCTGGGGAACCTCCCATTGGCCCATTCAAACCTCCCGCCAATGTCCCATTGGTTCCCGTAGAGGCAGGGTGCAGGAGCCTGGTCCCCATTGTTCTCCGGACTCAAACTCCGCTGTATCGCGGGCGCCCAGTGGCGGTCCGTGGACACAACAACCACACATACAGCATTTGCAGCTTTATACACTGCAGAGTGCGGAGATGCACATGGGTAGGTGCACAGGGATATAGGGATCCACCTTTAAGAAGGTCCAGTTTACCCCGGGTCTCTTATTCCCTGTACGACTGTAGACAGGCGTTTCTTATTCACTGCTGTTTATCGCGGCAAATGCTAACCAATACCCTTCGCCGTGTGAAGTATCAAGTGACACCTAGAAGGGGGTTTGCCTAGTTGTTTGATATTGCTGCTGGAACTCTTGCATTTTAATTTACCTTCTTGTGCAAGACTCGGGGGGGGGCGCTTATGGAGCATGCTGCACTATCCTTTGTACACACATTGCTGCCTGGGGGAAGACAGGTACCACTGACAGAGGCTCAAACCCCCAGATCCAAAATGACCAGCTTCTGCGGTAATCTTACGGAATTCATGTGCAGCTTTAAAGGCGGTGGCATCGTGAGAAAGTAAGAATTGGCTTGCTGGACCATTTCACTTCTTCATCTTACTTAATGAGCCGATTTCTCCTGCAATGTGAAACAATTAATAATAGTCATCATTAATAATATTAGTTCATAATCCAACAAGGGTAATCCGCTGTGGCTAAAATAACAGTTTTGTGGCACCTTAAAAGCTAACAAATTTATTATTAGTAACTATTAATTTTGTTCGTAGCTATTAATAATGTTGGCATCTGGAAGGGTTCCACAGACAGATGACCTGGATTTCTGTCGCTGTTGTTGTTGTTTTGTTTTTGTGTGTGTGTGTGTTTTAATGTGCATATTGACTATAGGGATCAATCCTCAAGGAATGGAATAATGAAAAACTGAGGTCTGTTTTGAGCTTTAAGCGGAATACTGACAGCCATTGCAAAGTAGGGTGTGATTATGTGTGGCATTTTAGAAAGTCAGGTTTGTGTTAGGGTAGCTGATTCAGAGCAAACAAACAGCAATGTTTATGAAGAGACAGCAAGGGGTTTATTTGTGTTTCTGGGGTTGCGAGAGCCCTTTGGCATCGCTGGTGGGCTAAAGCGGTGATCTTCAAACCATGTGGGCAAGTGGTGGGCTTCACAGCTACCAGAATCTTGTCAACTTCTTCCTGGGAGAGCCGATTGAAGTGATCCAACATCGGACCAGAAGATGGACAAGGGGCTTCCAGTTCCATTATTGTATCAAATGTGGTTGGGAGATCCTGGCAGAGCGACAAGACTATCTGCAAAAAAAGCTTCCAAATGCCTCACAGCCAGTAGCCAATTCCTTAACATTTGGTTTGCCTTGAGGCAATGAATTCAGAGACTGAGGCCCTGTTCATACGAGCCATTTTGGGCTGGGAGTGGGCCGGATTGGAAGCGCGGCAAACAGGAGCGATCCGACGCCAACATATGCCTGGTGTTGCGCTCCCGTCTCCCGCAGGCAGTGGTGCAGTCAGGCACGCACCGACACTGGAAACCCTTGGTGTGGGTTTTCTAGAGCTCAGACGGTCCTGTGGCCTGAGCTGGTGTCTGTGATCACTGCTGCCTTGTTTTTGTGTGTGTCCCCCACCCCACCCCACCCCAGCAGTTGTGAACTCAGAGATGGTCGCCGAGGTGCCAGGGGCACCATCAGTTCACAAAAACCTTTAGTCACAGAGTTGTTTCTTGCGCACACAATTGTGTAGAGAAATCTGGCCACGGATCCTGGCACTGAGAAGCGGAATTAATTTAATCTTAACCTCGAACCGCAGCCATATCGTTGCGGCTTAATATCGAATATCTTTGTGCTTTAAATGGGCGCTTCGAGTGCTAAACCTAATTTTGTTTGCCTCCCTGGGTTTTTTTTGTCTATAACACGTGGTTTTGACCTTGTGATAATGTACGGCTTTTAAAGACGCACCTTGTCTTATTAACTTTAATCAGTACCCCTGTTGAGCATGCACCCGTGTCTACCAGCTGCGCCTCTCTGGCCGCATCGCCTGCTTCAGCCCATCAGCCTGCTGTTGCTGCCGCCGCCGCTCACAGCACCGCCCTTCCGACGAACTTCCCTCCGGCTGCTCCCATCTCTTCCTCTTGCCAAAGGTAATACTGTGTGCTCCTTTGCATCATCCATTTGCTTTCATGTGTGTAACAGGATGGGAAAAGACAGTCGAGAGCGGGCAAAAGATGGCTGCAAATGAAACACATCATATTTATATTTATTTATTGTTTCAACTTGATATACCGCCCTAACCCCCGTAGGGGTCTCTGGGCGGTTTACATTTTTGGGTGCTAGTCACATATTTGAACCTAACTACGGCCACATCAATTCAATGCAAGGGGCTGCCTACCGGCACCCTGGTGGAGGCTTGGTGTCATTCTTTTTTCGGCTCGGCTCCCTTTTTCCCAGCTGAGATGTTCTGGTGCTTTTAGGCAGACAGGCGAATGGTTTACCGGCGGCGTCCTCCTCGGCCCGACTGTGTCCTTCTGGCTCCGCGCGCCTCTGGATGACGTCACCGGAGGACATTAGAAAAAGGGAATTATGGAGGCCTGTTCTAGGTCCTGAATTTCAGATAGCCAGGAACAACAAAACAACTGTGAGCTGAAATACCTGCAAGTATAAATGTACAAAAAGAGACTTCAATAAAGTGAAAAGAAACATATAATTAGCAATATCAGTAACAAATATTACATATGGGAATGATGCTTAATAACAATATATAATCACTGTTACACAGAGTCTCATGTATCTTACCAACATGTTTAGAAGCTATATTGTTATAAAGCATTGCTGTATTTTATACTTTTACAATTTTGTACTTCTATAGTTCTTTGTTCCTGAGGAAGGACCAGGAAACACTATAAACTACCTAGGAAAAGTGTTGGATATCTTCTCTGGACTTGACTGTTTCCCTTCATGGATTGTGTGGATTCTTCATTCCCATATGTAATATTTGTTACTGATATTGCTAATTATATGTTTCTTTTCACTTTATTGAAGTCTCTTTTTGTACATTTATACTTGCGGGTATTTCAGCTCACAGTTGTTTTGTTGTTCCTGGCTATATTAGACTGTGTGCTGTATTGTGTGTTGCCTGAATTTCAGATAGACATTTCAGTGGAGGAGGAAAACTTAGTTTAGATACCATCTATCAAAACCAAGGAGAATCGGTTTGCTTTAAAAAAAGAAAAATCTCTGCCCTCGACCTCAGCAAACAGTCTGGGGTTCCTGATAACTGGAGACTCCCTTAAATTAAGTGGGGGCACTCCTGATCAGCAGTTTGGAAGCGGGGACCCTTGTAAGAGGGTTCGTTTCGTTAACAAATATCTCTGTCCCTTAAATGCTTTCCTCTGGAGCCGCTGTACTTGAAGCAATTACCACTGGTGCAATCCTAAACAGAGTTACACTCTTCTAAGCACATTTTCAGTGGAACAGAAGGGTGTAAGTCTGTTTAGGACTGCACTGCTGGTAGCATAATGACGAGTGTGTCGGAGTAGGACCTGGGATCCGAATTCAAATCCCCACTCTCGCAGGAGCTCACTGGGTGACCGTAGACAACACACACACACAGAGACTTTTTGCATAACCTACCTCACAGGGTTGCTGTGAAGATGCAACAGGCAAGGAGGAACCATCTGTGCTGTGCTGAGCATCTTAGAGAAAGAGCGGTATGCTAATGTACTAACTGGACAGACATCTGGCGATAGTTCCAGCAGTGAATTCAGAAGCACCTAATGGACATGGCAAGGACTGTGAGCGCACGGATGCCCCAGGGCCTTGCCCAAAAAAAATCTACGCTGAAGTGAACAGACCAGTGCTTCTTATGCTTCTGATATAAGGGATTTCTAGATTAAAACTGGAGGGATACATCAGGTATGAGTTCCATATTATGAACTGGAGTAAATTGTCGGAGGATGTGCAGGCATCCTCCTTACAACTGTAGACAGCCTGGATGTAGGACTGCCAGGTGTGTGTGTGTGTGTGTGTGTGTGTGTGTCCCCCTGGTGGATCACACAGCCTCATCTGATGGAATGGAAGCCCCCCCCTATTGTGTGGAATCTCTGGGGAGGCAGTGCAGTGACCGCCTTCTGTCTCCAGGCCTTCTAAAGAGACAGGCATCGTTTCCAAAGGAAGATCTGCCAGCACTGCTTGCATCTGTATCCTCTACAAGCACCTTTTCAGATCCAGATGGAAAAGAAGCTGTTGCCCTAGTGGCCTTGCTGCATGCCCGGAGGCCATGCGATGTCTTGGATAATTGTCCTGCCTTGCAAATCTCACACATGACATCTACCATGAGGCTTTGGTGGGCCAAGACATTTTACATTTCCCCGGGTGTAGGAATATGGCTCCTTCCCCCTGTCAAACCACCATTTTCTGAGCTCTCTGGGTTTCCGCATCAGCGTGATGTCAGAGGATTCACCCCAGAGCAAATTTAACATTTAGCATCCTGGCTGAGCATCCCTATGTGTCTCCTCGTGCAAACACAGTTCCAAAGCAGTGCTTCTTCTGAGAATATCAAATGCTAATAATAAAAATCCTGACCCTGAGGATTGACTAGTCGTGTGAGCTAAAAAAACTTTCTTCCCAGGCTTTCTTGGATTCCTGCTTTGAGTACAGCAGGTAAGTGTTAACATTAATGAAATGTTTGCCTCTGGAAAGTGGACATTCTTCTCATATACTTAAATCATACATATACAGTAAACAAACAAACACGGTACACGTTTTGATTTGGAAGCGTTGTGTGATGCACTTGCCAGTTCGCCCATCCAAAGTTCTGACGAATTTTCTTTTGCAGTTTAAAAAAAACAAAAAAACCCCACCAACAACTTTTGTCTTTTTTTAGCCCCAGACGGAATCCTTCCACTTCCATCACCCACCAGGCTAAGAGGAGGTACAGAGTGCTTCTTCATGCTCACAGTTCACAGGCTCCTTCCCATTTGCTACGTGATGATTAGTAAAGCATTAACCTAAATAACATTGTCACTGGTTTTTCTTCTTCTGTTCTGACAACTAATAGTTTTCAGGCTTGTTTGTCGTTTGGATTAGCTGTTCCCTCGCACAGGTGTAACTCTGGTTGTTTTTGATCCTTTTGAGCCCTTCTTTGAAACCATCATCGATTCCCGAGCGCTCTTCTTCCCCACCCTGTTTTCTTTTTTACAGAAAAAAAAATGACAACTGATCCCCTTCCACGACTGACCCAGCTTTGCTAAAATCTTCATTTACAAAGTGCTTTCCCCCCTTCTTCCAGGAGCCTTCATCCTTATACATCCTAATCTGCATTCTTTCTTTTAAACTGCCTTGCTGGATGTTATCCATTTTGTTATCTGAACTGTGGTACTGGAGGGTTTTGTTTCTGTGCAGTTTGGACTTCCTCCCCTATCCCTTTTGGGATTTTCTTAAGTAAATTTTAATTCCCTATCGGAGTCAGCTGAGGTCTGTTGTAACTGACCCATATTTATACCCAAGATCAAAGGGTCTCCTTATTAATTGGATTGCAGTTAAACTTTGACACTTAGAACTTTAAATTGTCTTTTAGGAAATTGGTTTCCCTTCCTTGGTCTCATGTAACAAGAGTTCACATTCCATAAGGTCAATACAGAGTCATTGTTTACTCCTGGTGTTTCCCAATCATGGGAAATAAACTGTGCTTTGATGTTATCAGAGAGATGAAAGCTATGGATTGGAGTCTGCCAATTTCCTAAATGGTCACATAATTTATTGCCTAGGAAATTGGGGTATTGGCAAGTCTCGCATCTGTGATTTTCCTGGGAATAGAATGCGTTACATCCTTGCGTGTGTGACCAAGAAAGAGATCCTCCTGGGAAGAAAAGGCTTGCAAAAGAATAATGGGCTTTGATTCAAACAGGCCTAGCAAGGGCAGAGACAAATATGTATACTATTTTGGTTCATTTTAAACCCAAAACCTTCTATATTTCTAATATTTCTTACCACAATCCCCCATTTTTGGGTTTAAAAGGACCCAAACAACATTGGCTACAAGAAGCCATTAGATAGCAGCTGTGGAGTTAGAGACTATTTGGATTCCAAAGGAAAATGGAGAAGGAATACATTTAGCTGCACAAGAAATAGCGCGAAAACATACCAAGATTACAAAACCACCTAACAATGCTTCATCATTTAGATTAGCTAAGTATCCCTCCGAGTAATCTTGCTTATACACATCTGAAAAAAAATGTTTACAACAAAATGAAACCCACAAATAAATGAAAATGGTTAGAAAAAAGGTTCAAAGTCGTCTGCTGTAAAAGCAATAGAGTCAGTACTAGAAGTCTCTAATGGGGTGAATGGAGAAAGTTCAACTGGAGAATCTTGGTCCATTAAACTCAAACTCACTACAGTCACTCTTACTATCACTAGAGTTCTGTGTCGGCTGGTGGCTTGCCGCAGGGCTCTTTTTGTAGCAGGGACTCGTTTGCATATTAGGCGACACACCCCTAATGTAGCCAATCCTCCAAGAGCTTACAGAGCTCTTCTTGCAGGGGCTACTCTAAGCTCTTGGAGGATTGGCTACAATAGGGGTGTGTCGCTTAATATGCAAAGGAGTTCCTGCTACAAAAAGAGCCCGTAGCATAGTATTTTAAGGGGAAAATGTGCTAGCCAACTAATACTTTGATTTGCTAATTAAAGTATTTGTAGCCAGTCTTTCCCTCCCTAACAGGGCCCAAGTCATCTCACCATGATAACAACACAACCAATATTACATTGAAACAGCAAAACCAATTTTTAAAAAACCCATAAAAACTGAATCAACAGTTGGCTCTTCCACATCCTCATTTTTTGTTGCTTTGGGGGGGGGAGGTTCCTTTTCTGCACATGTTTCGCTCCCTCTAGGCTCAGGGGTCGATTCAGTATTACATCACTGTGTGTCTGGCATATTTCTCTGCACTTTTAAGAGGTGTAGTAGTCAAGAGTGCGCAGACTCTAATCTGGAGAACCAGGTTTGATTCCCCACTCCTCCACATGAAGTCTTCTGGTAGATCTTTGGGCTAGAACTCTTTCAGCCCCACCTATTCTGTACTGTTTTAATGTTTTAACTTGGGCATTTTTGCCCCCTGTGAGCTGCCCTGAGCCTTCGGGGAGGGCGGGGTATAAATTCAAAAATAAATAACTAAATACCTCACAAGGTGACCGTTGTGCGGAGGAGTAGGGAATGTGATTGTAAGTGGCTTTGAGACTCCTTGGGGGTAGAGAAAGGCAAGGGTATTAAAAACTACTCTTCTTCTTCATCTAATATAGAATCAGCCTTGAGAGGGAGGGGAACATATGCGGAAAAGAAAAAAGAAAGAAACAAAGCAATAGGGACACCCAAGTGCCGAAAATGAGAATAGGAACTCTCAGTCTGGGGCAAGTGATGCTCTATATTCTTGGTGCCTGAGGGAGGGGGGCAACATTGGGGGGCTTCTAGTGTCCTGGCCCCACTGCTGGACCTCCTGATGGCACCTGGTATTTTCAAAAAAATCTGGAGACACACGACTAGAACAGATAAACAAATATGAAGCCAGCAGTTGTGATAGTCTGACCCGCAATCAACAGTCATAAGACTTATAAGAATTGCTGTACATGTATTGTGCTCTGAAGCATGACAATATGATACACAACTTAATAGAATTTATAAACCAAGGTACAACGTCGTCTCTGGATTATTTACCAACGTTTCAAAAAATGAATCTTCTTCAGGAAATATTATAGAGGTGCCAAAGTTCTCATTTTCATAAAAGTTAGACAACAAGTCTTAAGCATATCACGATTCAGATAGGACGCTGATCTCAATTAACACGCAGTGTTTTTTTTTCAGGATCCAGAAAAAAAAACACTGCGTGTTAATTGAGATCAGCGTCCTATCTGAATTGTGATATGCTTAAGACGACGTTGTGCCTTGGTTTATAAATTCTATGAAGTTGTGTATCATATTGTCATGCTTCAGAGCACAATACGTGTACAGCAATTCTTATAAGTCTTATGACTGTTGATTGCGGGTCAGACTATCATGACGGCTGGCTTCATATTTGTTTACCTGGTATTTTCAGCCATTGTGCAACAGAGTGTTGGACTGGATGGGCCTTTGGCCTGATCCAGCATTGGCTTCTCTGATGTTCTTATGCAGAAGAGCCCAGTAACAAATAAAGACAGATGAGACAGTAAACAGGTACGCCCAACAGAGCAGTCCATGCAAACACATAAAAGCACGGGGCTGTATTCTTTCTGTCATGTACAGGAGGCACCTGGAGTTTTCCCACATTCCTCTTCATTGCTACTGGGCTTTCTGACCCTGGGAAGACTGTTCCTGGGATCATCATGGGATCTGTGTGGAGGATCAGCCGTGAGGGTCAACAGACCGCAGCGAGGAGGGGCAGGGGGATGGAATCGGCCCCTCCCAGTGTTCCCTCTAAGCTGAGTTGGCTCGCAGCTTTTTAGCCTCCGGCTCACACATGTTTTGTCTCTGCTCTGGAAGGAAGGCTCCAGAGCAGACTAGTTTATGCAGCTGCTCTCAACTTAAATGCCAGTCGCTCACAAAGTAGAATTTCTGCTCACAGGACTCCACGGCTTAGAGGGAGCATTGGTCCCTCCCCTGAGTTGAGCTGTGCCGGCAGAAGAGGGAGGAGGAACGTTTTCTACACCAGTTGGCACTCCTCGTTTCAGCCCACCACCCAACCCACGTGGCTATTCCTCTGCACAGATCCTGTGACCCCAGAAATGATCTTCTGGGGGGCTTTGAAGGAGTTTCAGCAGTGGAGAAGAATGCAAGGAAACATCATCCTTTGCACACAGAGGTTTGCTACGGCTCAGTAGCTGGAAGCCCTCCCCAAAGCCCAAAATAGGCATTTATTTTTATGGCCGTGGCCTCAAACATGACTGGATTCCATGTTTCATACTGCCTATTGTACATTCAGAATGATTCCAGTTCTTTTAGAAGACATTTGTCACTAGAATGGACTCGGCAAACTGACAGCAGCAGAGTTACACCCTTCTAAGCCCCATTGACTTGAATGGACTTTGAAAGGGTACAAGTGTTGGCCTGTGAGACTTGGGGGAGGGAATTCCCTTCCCCCCCACTTTCTATCCAGGCCCAGCACGGCTTCTGAGCGGCACTTCTGCCTGGCCCAGCACAGTTCTCGGGTTGCATCACTACCGCTGGTCCGAGCATGGCTCCCAGGCACCTCCACTGCCACCACTGGGGCCAGCACGGCTCCCAGACTAGGGTTGCCAGTAGGGTTCCCTCTAAGCTGAGTTAGTGTGAGCTAGCTCACAGTTTTTTAGCCTCCAGCTCACAGTCTTTTGTCTTAGCTCAGGAAGGAGGGCTCCAGAGCAAACTAATTGATGCAGCAGCCAAATCGCTCGCTCACAACTTTGATGCCAGTAGCTCACAAAGTAGAATTTTCACTCACAAGACTCCACAGCTTAGAGGGAACATTGGTTGCCAGCCTACCTGTTGCCAGCAGGGGGCTCCAGCCTGCTGTCCTGGAGTCTTTGGCGTGCACGCAAAGCATGTATCCACCACTATGATGTCACCCACAGGTGACATCATTGCGCCGGGCACATCGGCACAGGTGGGGCTGCTCGGGGTGGGGCTCCCCAACCGGCCAGCTGAGTGGCGGCAGATTCAGGGCCCCAAAAACGGGTAAACCCCCGCCCCGATTGTAGATTTGAATCAATCTGGGTGGATTTGCACTTGCAAGTGCCACGTGTTGAGTTGGTTCTGTACATGCAGATGTCACGCACAGACTCGGAACCGATAGCCTATTTCACAGTACTGTTCTACATTGGGTGTCAATATCGTTTAGGATTATTTATTTAGAAAGTGATTCTGACCACTCTTCAGAGGCCAGCTCAAGCCAGCTTGCAAAAATTAAGAAAACCCATCAAAACATAACATCATACAAATTGACAAACCATTAAAAACCCAACCAATAAAAACCTAGAGCATAAAAAACCCAGAGTATTCACTCAGGGCTTCTTCACATTCTCAGTTCATTGCTTGTGTGTCCTTATTGGGTTTTCCTCCTCCCCCCCCCTGCACGTTTTGCTCCCTCTAGTCCAGGGGTGTCAAGCTCATTTGTTATGAGGGCCAGATCTGACATAAATGAGACCTTGTTGGGCCGAACCATGTGTGTCATAAAATGTAATGCCAGGTAGCGGAGATATAAACTTTATAAAGGACACAAACAGAAAGTTTTTTCCCCATTAAAATAAAAACATGCTTAAAACATTAGCACTCTTGCAATATTTTGTTTAGTTAACAGTGTCTGATAACTGACACCTCTTGCTCTGAATTACTGCATCAAAATGTCTGTGCTGTTGCAGTCTTGAGTATGCTGTTCAGGTGTGTATCTGTAAGCTGCAAACCTACGATGATGCAGCAGCAGCAGAACTGGAAGGAGAAGCAGAAGACAGCCAGTTCCACTGCGGGCCTGATAAGAAGCTCTCCGGGGGCCTGATCCGCCCCCCGGGCTGCATGTTTGACACCCCTGCTCTAGTGGTTGATGTGATATTACGTTGCTGTATGTCAGGCATAAAAACCTGCAGTTTAAATCTGCAGGGAGATATGCTCGACATACAGCAATGTAATACCGAATTGACCACTAGGGGGAGCAAAACATATGCAGAAAAGAAAATGTTTTAAGAAACCAAAAGCAATAGACACAGGCAATGAAAATGAGAATGTGGAAGAGCCCTCAGTCCACTCAATTTACAGACCCCTTGGCTGGAAATCATCACGGATAAACAGTGTGTGCCATGTGTTGAGGAACTCAAGACAAGCCCTTAGGCTAGGATTTTGTGCCCTTTCCACTTGTGGTAGGCACTGCTGCCTGAGAAAGAGGGGGGGGGGGGATTTTTGCTGATTCCTCCTTCTCAGTCTAGCCTCCTCACTTTGACCCCATGATTTCCTGGGGGTTCCCTGACAAACAGAACACAATTTTGGGGCAACTAGAAGACTGTGTTCCGCTTGCCTTGCGTAGGATCCAAGCTTTCGTTCCTAAAATGTTTTCAAATGCCAGCCTATCATTTCGAAACTGTGTCCTGAGTGCATACACGTTTCTATAGACTTCCTGCCTGCCTTGTTACCAGTTCATGATGGTCTAAGATGCTCTGGGAATGCTTTATAGATTTTCGAGCGCTGGACCTCACGGGCTGCTTTTAAACGTCACAGGGTCATCTTTGTCTCTGTAAACAAAGAATCGCCCTGAGTTATTTAAACAGGGCCTTTATGTATTCACTCAGTCGTAAAGCTACATGCTAAGAAAGAACGTGGAATACTTGACTATCGACTAGTTAGTTCGGGTTTCCTTCTGATGCTGACTGTTTGAAAATTAACATCTTTACTCTTGATCGGGGATGATCAAGGGGTAACCATAGCATTGAATCCAGCCCAGCAATTGGTTCCATACACCCTCCCGATCAGGGCTCTTTTTGTAGAAAAAGCCCAGCAGGAACTCATTAGCATAATATGCCACACCCAACACCAGAAACTCATTAGCATAATAGGCCACACCCTGACACCACAGCTCATTAGCATATTAGGCCGCAGCCCCCTGTTGCCAGAAGTGTGGTCATCCAGCCACACCCACCTTTTGCTTCTTATTCTGTTTACCTTGTTTGTTGTCAAAACCCAGGGCCTTTTTTTGTAGCAGGGACTCCTTTGCATGTTAGGCCACACACCCCTAATGTAGCCAATCCTAATGAGTTTCTGCTGTTGGGTGTGGCCTGTTATGCTAATGAGTTCCTCCTGGGCGTGGCCAACTCGGGAGCCAGCCGGAACGCCGTTCCTGTGCGTTCCTGCCCAAAAATAGCCCTGCTCCTGATCATCCCATAGAGAGCACAGGCAGGAAGGAGCAATTGCTGGTGTCACCCAGCCCCAAGACATCAACAGGGCGCTCCTTCGGACCTGCAGGGTGTCCCTCCCAGTGCAAAAGGAGAGGATTCTTCACGGGGAACATCATTCTTTTCCTTATGGAGGAAGCCAGCTAATTTACGGAGTGGGGAAGAGGCAGGATGTAGTTGCTGGAGGCGTCCGCGCATTCATGCTGCCACCAGGAAATCAACCGCTGCTCTAGATCATTTCCCTTCTTTAATGGATTTGCCTTCTCCCACTGATGAGAGTTCGGTTGAAATGAGTTTTCGTAAACTTTCTTGTAACTTTGGCTGCTGTAGATTTTCCGGGCTGTATGGCCGTGGTCTTGGCATTGTAGGACCTGACGTTTCGCCAGTAGCTGTGACTGGCGTCCTCAGAGGTATAACAGAGAAAGATAGAGTACTCTCTGTGTCAGAGAATACTCTGTCTTTCTGTGTTCTACCTCGGAGGATGCCACTGGCGAAGCGTCAGGTCCTACAGTGCCAAGACCACAGCCATACAACCCGGAAAATCTACAGCAGCGAATGAATTCTGGCCATGAAAGCCTTCGACAATCTCTTGTAACTGTTGTAAGTCGCTGTCTTCCCCCCCGTATGCCAGATGTGATTTTCCTCCCGTTGATATCATTGACCAAGCTGTGAACAGTCACCAAGCAAATGAACCCTTGTTCGTGTTTCTGGGATCTCACTTTCTGCCTGGAAAGATGGGGGGGTGGGGAGGTGTTCGGCTTTCCTGTGCCAAAGAATACTCTGATCTTCGGTAATTCGGTGCCTCATAGATTGCCAACTGCAACCATAACAGTCCTCTTTCTCCTTTATTAAGCTCTTTGGTATGTAAACCAGCCTTTAAAACGTAAGTACCTAGAAGAACGCATGTGGGCCGGATTTTGCTTTTTCCCGTGGAGCTTTCGGATGGTATCCCCGTTACGATCGGCAGAAGCCCCCACCCGTTCTTCTGCTGTTTTTGTTCACCTGCTGCTGTTGTGTGTGGTTTGCTCATCGCTCTGCTTTGGTTTTAGAGGTCCAGGCCAGTCTTACACCTCCGCGCCAGCTTCCCACGGCCCAGCTCCCTACCCAGGCCACAGCGACGCTCCAGCTCCCGCTCCGAAACCCAGGATGGTCACCACCGCCAGCATAAGGCCTTCTGTCTATCAGCCAGGTAAGAGGACTACAGGCTCCGAGAGACTGCCCTTGGCCACGCCCAGGAGCAGAGACAAAAATATATATATGTCTAAATGGAGTACAAAGCCAAATCCACATGTTGTTGTATATGACAATGTTGTCGTTGTTTAATTTTAATAATAATAATAATCATCATCATCATCATCATCTTTCAATTTATTGATTGTTCAATCCTTGCAGAGCTGCCGGCTCTGAGCGATTTACAGTTACTCATGTATTCACACGGGACTAACAATTATAGGGGTGACAACATATATCTTTTTAAATCACACACATTTCGCAGTCGACGGGAAGTTTGATCAGCTGTAAGCTTCAGACGTGTTCCAGCAGCATTCTCACTCCGCGTTGCTTGATGTTGTCAGCATTTTCACAGTCACAGCGCACCACTGCCACCGTCTGGCCGGAATGGCCCATTGCAGGCTTTTTTGATGCTGAGTAGATCTCTCTCGGCTTTTGATCTTACGCGCGGACCTTCCGTTCGCCGGCTAACACCTCCCCCATGGGGGGTTTAGTGTGCCCACCCTCTCTAAGGAGTGGTACCCATTTCATCTACTCTCCGAAGCTTTCGAACCGCTGGGTGGACAGCGAGCTGGGGACAAGGCTGGTAGCTCACACCAGCGCGGGGCTCGAACTGGCAGCAGTCCTGTTCAGCTCAGATGTTTAACCAGAGGATAAATCCCCTGTGCCACCGCTCCCCTCCTGTCCGTGCAGGAAACTCCAAAAGGCGAATGATTACCTTTGGTGCAACATCCAGTGACCTGGGCTTGCCCAGTCTCATCCGATCTAAGGAATTAAACAGGGGCAACTCCGGTTAAGACTCGGATGGGAGACCACCAGGGAAGTCCAGGGTCATCACGACCAGTGTTCCCTCTAAGCGGAGTGAGTGCGAGCCAGCTCACAGTTCTTTAACCCCCGGGTCACACATTTTGGTCTTCGCTCCGGAAGGGAGGGCTCCGGAGCAAACTCATTTATGTAGTAGTGGAATCGCTCGCTCGCTCACAGGCTTTAATGCCAGGAGCTCACAAAGTAGGATTTTTGCTCACAGGGCTCCACAGCTTAGAGGGAGCACCGGTTACGACGCAGAGGCAAGCGGTGGGAAGCCTCCTCTGCCTTTTGCCGTGAAAGCCCTGCAGGGCAGCGATGATGAGTCGCTGTGCCTTGATGGCACTCGCTACCACCAGTATTCAATGATATGTGTATCCTTCCTTACAGCCTTGTTTGGCTGCATGCACGTGTTTCAAAACTGCCTGCTTCCCCTTATCCCAATGGGAGCTGCGGTGGCTCAAGTGGTTGAGAGGCTGAACTGCAGGCTGTGGAAGGTCGGTAGTTCAGCAGTTCGAGACCCGAGTGTGCCGCATGACGGAGTGAGCTCCCATCTTTAGTTCCAGCTCCTGCCAACCTAGCAGTTTGAAAGCAAGAAATTGCAAGTAGATAAATAGGTACCGCTCCAGTGGGAAGGTAACAGCGTTCCGTGCGCCTTGGCGTTTAGTCATGCCGGCCACAGGACCATGGAAATGTCTTTGGACAGCGCTGGCTCTTCGGCTTGGAAACGATGAGCACCGCAACCCTAGAGTCGGATTCGACTGGCTTTCGAGCAAGGGAGACCTTTACCTTTACCTTTTTACTGCTTAGCTAGAGTTGCCAACCCTCGGTAGGGAAATACCTGGAGATTTGGGGGGGGTGAAGCTTGGGAAGGGTGGGCTTTGGGGAGGGTCAGGACCCCAGTAGGGCATAATGCCATTCAGCAAAACTTCCAAAGCAACCATTGTCTCCAGGGGAACTTATCTCTGTCGTCTGGAGACCACTGATAATTCCATGAAACCTCCAGCCACTCCCTGGAGGTTGGGAACCTTTGTGCTTCACTGTGAACAAAAAAACCTAGGGGCTCTTGTTCTGCCTGAGGGTCCAAGTGAGTGGAAAATGTCACAACTGCTCTCTGGTAAAGCTTTTTGGGCAGTGTTTGCCTCTAGAAACAGAACACGTGTACATGACAAATGGGTGTTTGAAAAACGCAGGTCTTAGGTATACCAGTTTGAACCAGGTATGAACCAGTTTGGTGTAGTGGTTAATTGCGGGGACTCTAATCTGGGAGAACCGGGTTTGATTCCCCACTCCTCCCCCTCCTTGGGCAAGCCATATTTCTGCCAGAGCTGTTTTCTCAAGGACAGTTCTGGAAAGAGCTCTCTCGGCCCCACCTACCTCACAGGGTGTCTGTTGTGGGGAGGGGAAGGGAAAGGAGTCTGTAAGTTGCTCTGAGACTCTGAGTGAAGGGTGGGGTACTCCTCCTCCTCCTCCTCCTCCTCCTCCTCTTCTTCTTCTAATGGAATCGTGCTGCAGTATGTAAATAGCATTCTCGAGGCAAATGGGGACGGGCCACTGAAATTGCCACTTTTTATTTTCACTGGTCAGAAGGCTGGGATCGACTGCCGCTTCCTCCATTTGTTTATTTGCATCTCTCTCCCGTATTTCTTCCACCATAGGGATAGTTTTGGGGTGGGGGGTGGGCCGCCATGTCGGTCTAGAGCAGAAGAGCTCGGTTCAAGTCCAGGAGCACCTTAAAAAGTAAAGGTCTCCCTTGCTCGAAAGCCAGTCGAGTCCGACTCTAGGGTTGCGGTGCTCATCTCCGTTTCCAAGCCGAAGAGCCAGCGCTGTCCGAAGACGTTTCCGTGGTCATGTGGCCGGCATGACTAAACACCAAGGCGCACAGAACGCTGTTCCCTTCCCACCGAAGCGGTACCTATTTATCTACTTGCAATTTCTTGCTTTCGAGCTGCTAGGTTGGCAGGAGCTGGAACGAGAGACGGGAGCTCACCCCGTCATGCGGCACCCGGGTCTCGAACTGCTGAACTACCGACCTTCCATAGCCTGCAATTCAGCGTCTTAATCACTTGAGCCACCGCAGCTCCTTAGGAGCACTTTAGAGTCTAACAAGATCCCCAGGGTGCGCGTGAGCCCCCCAGGCTGGTTGCCCTGCTGTGATCCCGCTGCATTTTAAAGGGTGCTGTTGTGTTGGGTGAAAAGGTGTTTAATGGAGGTACGCCCCGGGGAGCGTCTGGCTTCCCTTCCGCCTGATTCTCAAAATCCAGAAGGCCAGCACTTAAACCTGTGCACTATTCTCTGCTGCCGATATTTGCGAGCAGCTTGTGCCAGCATGCATTCGAGACCTTTCAGTGCCTGCCAGTTTGGGCATGGGTTTAAAAAGCAAGGTCTCTCTCATGGACCTTCCCCATCTATAAGATTCCCTGCAGCCCTCTCCTAATTGTGCCCGCCCCATCCTGTTACGAAGATGTTTCCGATCGTTGCCAGGGTTGTACCAAATGTCAGCGAGAAACTATACAGTGTTCGTAAACTGCTTCGAATCTTTCCGTTTGAAGAGGGGAAGAGAGCCTTCTTTTGTGTGCGATTTTGGAACAAGATTCTGTTCTTCCCCTCCAGAAATTAATTCAATGTCTTGGGCTGGAGATTCTCATTGACGTCACTAGGTGGCAGGAACGTACTTAGTTCTTTCTTCCAGGTTCTCAAAGCCTGAGAAGCAGTCTGTCCCCCAGGAAGCATGCAGGCAATTCACAAGGTGCAGTCCTGGGAAGGGACTGTACCACCTCAAAGCACAAGAGGGTTCTTCACCCAGTTGCATATCGCCTGGCTCACACATGCAGCCAAACAAGAGAGAGAAGAGATTGGATTTATACCCCGCCCTTCACTCGGAGTCTCAGAGCGGCTTACAAACTCCTTTCCCTTCCCTTCCCCACAGCAGACACCCTGTGAGGTGGGTGGGGCTGAGAGAGCTCTCTCGAGAACTGCCCTTGAGAGAACAGCTCTGAGAGAGCTTATGACTGACCCAAGGTCACACCAGCAGCTGCATGTGGAGGAGTGGGGAATCTAACCCAGTTCTCCCAGATTAGAGTCCGTGCTTCTAACCACTACACCAAACTGGCTCTCCCACAAGGTGGGAGAATCTTGAGACAGTAGAGTGGACTGTACCACTGATGCTCCCAGCATTCGGGGGGGGGGATCTCCCTTGCGGCTAATGCAACTGGGAATGAGCTGGGATAGAAACTTTCCCACTGATGTGCTAAGGGTCTTTTTTAACTCACAGGAATTTTTTTTTAAGAAGCTGGAGTGTATTAAAAAAAAAGGGGTATCCCCAGTTATACCTGCGGCGGCTCAGAAGTTGAGCTGCAGACCAGAAGGTTGGTAGTTCAGCAGTTCGAGACCCGAGTGTGCCGTGTGACGGAGTGAGCTCCCGTCTCTGGCCCCAGCTCCTGCCAACTGAGCAGTTCGAAAGCAAGAAACTGCAAGTAGATAAATAGGTACCGCTTCGGTGGGAAGGTAACAGCGTTTCGTGCGCCTCAGCATTTACACATGCCAGCCACATGACCACAGAAACGTCTTCGGACAGCTCTGGCTCTTCGGCTTGGAAACGGAGGTGAGCACCACCCCCTAGAGTCGGATTCGACTGGCTCTCAAGCAAGGGAAACCTTTGCCTTTTAGTTATAGCCTTAAGTGGGACCACCCACTCTAACATCCCATTCTGTTGCATATGTAGGGTTGCCATAAGTCGGAAGTGACTTGGGGGCGCTTAACACACACACACACAATTAACACACACACACACACACAGAGGCTAAGCATGCTTCTCACAAAGAAAGAGAACCTGACATTGGAACCGATTTCAAACAAATGATTCCTCTACACATGCTCGAAGAGGGGCATGGGAACTGGTGCTCAAAGCAAGAAATAAGACCTGCTGAGCCAAGGTGAAATGGGCGCAGCCCAGTAGGACCTTCTCCAAGAGTGCCATCCAGGAATGTTCCTGATGCCCGTTCTGATGTAGCCAAGCACTGGGCCCTTGGAATACCGGGAAAACGAAGGCATTTTGTCACGGTCCATACCGATGCCATTCTCAAGACAGAAAAAAATTAACCAGGAACCAAGAGTACATAGTATCGCATTCCACAGTGTGGGATTTTCTTGAAG